TTTTTTTTTAAGAGGTTTTGCTCACAGGGGGGGGAACGGGGGGGCAGGTAGAAGGACAGAGACAGAGACCGAGACCATGAAAGGGAAACTGACATATCATCCCCCAGGGGGATGGCCATATTGCAATCCCTTCTCCTCCGTCTCCTCCTGGGATCTTGGGCACACACGCACACATGCATGGCGTGAGTTTCAAGCCACTGGTCTGGGACTAGAACTGTGGACAGCCATGTGGGAGTCCAGTGAAATCCTGATAGCTTTTTAAAAATGCAGATGTGGGCACATGATCGGTCTTGATTGACTGCTCCAAGTGGTACAGGGTTTGGCAGGAATCTGGCGGGCTTGGCTGGCACGGGGAGGTGGCTGATGGCCCTGCTGCAGTGGGTATACCCTCTACCCCCCACCCCAGACCTGTGTGTGTAAGATCTTGAAAGAACACTTTAGGAAAAAGCACGTTCTATGAAAGTTAAAGCTGGTTTAAAAAGCCTGCTGACGTGTTTGATTCTGATAATTCTGCTGTCTGAGATATCAGAATTGATATTGCGATATTGAATCGATTTGAGATATCAGCATTGGGCTGGATGAAAATGACGAAGATGAAGCGCCCGTGAAACCTCTGACCCTCCTTTATACAGCACCGCTGCCTCGGCTGGTGGAGCGGAATTCCCCAAGCACTGTGGACCCTACCCCTTAAAAGAAGAAGCAGGAGGAAATTTAAACACTTGAAAACAAAGCAAGTGAAACCCCATCTACAAAGATCAGTGCAAAAAATCCAGGAAGAGAGCTGGAGCCATTCGTGACGGGTCGGAGAACACCGAGGAAAGTGATGGAAGAGGAAAAGTGACATCGGCAGAAAGAATAAGTACACAGCGACATGAAATGACGTCAGCGACAGGGTCTTCAGCACATGCAGACACCAGCTGAACTGGCCGCTGCTGAAAAGACGGGACCCATTAGCGCCCAGTCCTGTGTTACCAGAGACCCTTGCAATGGAAAGTCAAGTGAAAGTTCAGAAAAAAGGAGAGACTGTTTTGTGGCGAAAAGCAAACATGAAGTGAAGCCACGGACTGAGACCTCTCTGTAGGAGGAGAGAGAACCAGTGGCGTGGAGTGGGGTATTGTTTTATCTGCATTTGCGAAAACCTTCCTGGAACATAAGTTCATGTATGGACCACCGGGCAGGATTACAGAAAAGGCCCCTCACCACAAGGACCCTAGGACCCTGGTGCTGGCTCTGCCCTCAAGTCACCCTTCGCAGCTAAACTCACATCCCTCGTGCCTTCCTGTATCCCTGACTCCAGCAACAAAAAGACAAATGGGTGGTGTCAGACCTAAACCCACTCTGTTTCCGTTTCTGTGGTTTCGCCATTCTAAGAACGTTACGTGAATGAAGTTGCACAATGCACGACCTTTGGAGAACGGTGTTTCTGCTCGGCGTCGTCCCTCGGCAGTCCTTCCGTGTGTGTGCGTGTCAGCGCTCCGTCCCTTTTCATAGCTACCTCGCACTCCGTAGCACGCATGCGCCATGGTTGTGTAACACTCATTAAAGTACCTTTGTTTCCAGGTTGAGGCTCCAAAAAATACAGTAGTGTGAACAGTCATGTCCAGGATTTTTTGTGCAAATGTCATAAATGACCAAGACTGTAATTGCTGGGTTAAGCAAATAGCATTGTTTTAAGGTTTTTACCATAGGGCGCATATGCTTGCCAGAGAGAGCAACAGACAGACAGAGAGAGACAGTGAGAGGGAAAGTGAGAAATCACCCCCCAGGGGGAGTGGCCACTGCACAATCCCTTCTCCATTCTCCTCCTGGGTCCTGTGATTTTGGGCACACATGCACACACACCTGGCATGATTTTCAGGCCACCAGATCCGGGACTTGAACTGCAGTTGACCACATGGGAATCCAGTGCCTTAATCACTACACTACCTACTGGCCCCACAATCTTAATCATTTTTTTAAAGAATCATTTTATTTAAGGTTATTTATTTATTTAAATTTGACCAGAGAGGGAGAAAGCGAGAGAGAGAGAGAGAGAGAGAGAGAGAGAGAGAGAGAGAAAGAGAGAACAAAAGCCGCGCGGTGCAGGGC